TGCAGCCCCCCCCCCCCCCCGTCATAGGATCAAAATTTGGGCACTTGACAGCCTGCCCACACTTAGGACCGCAGGGGCACTGCAACTCCCACCACCCACCTATCCCCCTCCCCAATTTATACCCTTTTGACTGCCCTGCACAGTGGCACTTGGTGGCAGCAGTACCAGGGCTAGGGCTGAAGTAGAGGCCTGGGGCCTTCAGTCTCAGCCAGCTGCCACTGCCCCCAGGCCTCTACTTCAGCCCCAGCACTGCCACTGCCACTGAGCAATGCCGCCTCAAGCCCCACACTGTGGCCAGCCACCCCAGCACCATTGCGCAAAGCTCCAGTTGCCCCTGCCACCCTGCACTCCACAGAGTCTACTGCGCCCAGCTGACTTTCACCGTTTTCTTCCCGCTGCTGATGAGGTGCACTTGGCCTGACCCTACTGTATGTGAGGCAGCTGCATACTTCTTTCCAGGCCTTCTTCCCAAGTCACTCACGCCATTCTCCAAGCCACTCCTGCCATTCCTTCTCCAAATAGGGCTCCCATTCTTGCAATCCTTCGGAAACCTTCTGGTCTTCCCCAGGTCTTGTGAGAACAGGGGTGCTATTTGAAGAAGGAATAGAGTGCATGATTTGGATAATGAGGTCTTCCAAAGCACTGCGAGAACGGCTCGGAGAATGGCTGACCTGCTGGCCACACCATCCCTTCTTCCCAAGGCCACTAACGAATGAACCAGGAAAGAGCAGCTCTGTTCCTGCGAGAGAGAAGGTGTAACAAAGGCAGGATCTGAGGGGAATCTTCCTGGCCAATATTCTCATGAGATTGTCATACATTCATTTTTTCTAAGTACTTTCACAGAACATATGAAAGATGTTTCATGGTTATCAAGAGAGTAATAACAAACAGTAGAATAAGTCTTCAACAATTGCCTCTATCTTGTATATTTATTTACCGCTAGCCACTGAAATATTTTAGACTTTAGGGACTGGCTTTTAAAAAATATATACATTCCATATTTTGATCTCAAGCTTTTAAAAAGTCTTAAAATTTATTTCTGTAATAGGCTTTTATATGCAGTGAATTTTTCTACATTAGAATTAAAATGTTAGGCTCTACATTAATTGTAAACTGCAACCCTGTAGAACCTTCGTATTATTTTACTGCATATTAGTGTATTTGTATTATCTTTAAATGCAATTAATGTATTTTTATTGCTGATTGTATGTGAAAATAAGATGCCTTTAAAAAAAGGTATTTCTTGTAAGTTCTAATAAAACATTACACTTTTCTTGCTCCTGACTGGTTTTTCAGAGCTTGATTTTCCACAGCACTAATGGTGTCTGCTTACTAACTAGATTGACTGGTTTAGATTTCACTGACTGATTGTATCTACATCTCTTGGGATTTCTCCCCCCCTCGCCCCGCCCCGCAAATCACAGTCTTCCAGATGGGCCTATCAATTCTGACCTTTTGCTATCCATAACTGGTCACTGAAGGCTTTCACATAACTCTTTTTAGTAAGATAAACAACTAACCACATGAAATAATACCTGCCAATGTATTGGTCATGTTTTGGCACATTTAACCAGTAGGTCACAAACACAAGCATAACCTAGTTTTACCCTAAGCATGTTGATCTTTGCAACCCAAGAACATTGACCCAGAGAATACCTCACAAACCAGCATACCTGTACTGGTTTTCAAAGGATCTGCAAACTGAATATGAGTCAGCAGTGTTACATGGCAATAAAAAAGAATGCCTCAATAGCTGTGTATTTTTCAAAGCAGAGGAAGCAACCGGGAAGGCAAATCCAAAAGTGGGGAGATGAAAGTCAAAGGTACTGTTTCAAACAATTTTGTAGTTTTGATTCAACCACTTTTGAGACAAACTATACAGAGAATAAAAATGTACCTGGTAATTAGGAGCTCACAGTTTCTTTCAAAAACTTTTGTGAAAGGATATAAGAAAGGAGAATAATCATCCTCCTAAACAGCAACCAGATAAATATTTAAAAAATGAGCAGCCATCACCACTTTGCTTGAAGGAAAGAAGGTACTGAGAAAGCTTTGTAAAGTACATTGAAATTGATCCCTCTCAAGGGAGATTCAAGATTTAGCCAAGCTCTAAAATAGCTACAGTTTTCCCTTAATATTTGCTTTTGATACATTTAACACATTTTATTTTTGACTCTAGCACACTGAGATATTAATAGAAGAGAATATTAACAGAAAAGAAGCACACTGAAATATTATTTCTACTTAAATAAAAACACTATTTTAAAATATTAAAATGCATTTGTTTGTCCTCCCTTTTATTTACTTGAAAAATAGCATGACTTATTTAAAATGTACCACATGCTTGTTTTGAAAACTAGTAATATCATAGCTAAAAATGTTAAAAGCATTATAGTTCCAACATATATGAACTAAAAACAGCTGCCAGTTAATAGCAATGTTTATATTAAAGTATAAAGTAGTTCAAGAGGTAACTCCAGAAATTGAGTCATATTAGTAGTAAATATCTAATAAACAGAAGCGTATCTAGAAACAGTTTTGTCTAACTTCGCAATATACAAGCAGTGGTTCCAGTTCTCATAGCTTCATTTGCTATCATTTTTTGAGCATTCTCTCTGGACATAAGACCATGCTGAAGCATCTTAAATTGTTGTTGTCGACTTTCTTCCAATTTCTTCCAGCGATCCTCTCCTTGATCTTTCTGTGAAAGCAAAATATAGAGCATCCTAGTATTAATTCAAATGTGTTCAATTAAATAATTATTGCAACATGGTCTACATCGGGCTACCCTTGAAGACCATCCAGAAACTGCAACTGGTCCAGAATACAGCGGCACACGCAGCTTGGAGTGCCCCATAGTTCACTTGAGTGCTACATTCCCAGTTGCTTTCTGGGTACAATTCAAGGTGCCAGGGGACCTGGAGCATGTCTACCCTATCTAACCAATATAGGGCTTTAAAGATGGTAACAGTCACATGATACAAACACTGTCATGCAACAGCTCAGGGCATGTGACTGTACAATAAGATGGAGTGAATGGTAGAAGGATTTCCCTCAACACCCCTGAGAAGCTTGTCAATACATCCCTAAGATCCCAAACCTAGGTCAATTGATAATGGCCTGACTACAAGGCCTCGCTGAAATTTGGAAAAGCTTGGGAAGATGCAGGAAAACATTCCCTTCATGTGGCCCTTCATTGTGCTACCTAAATTTCCCTCTGATGGTTTTATTGCATTAAATTGAAGTGGCCTCCCTTCTTTCTTCATTTGGCAACTGGTATTTCAGTTGCTTCCTAGATAGTTGAGTGGGATGAACAGCTTGAATCTTTCAACCCCCATACTGCCTTTTGGGTGGATTTCTGCTAGAAAAGCAATTTGTTCCCATTGCTTTATCACTGTCCTTTCAGGGAAGCCAATTTCAACAAATTTAAGCAAGTACAAATTTAAGCAGGCAGGATTCCATGGATTGAGCTCCTCAGGTCAAAGGGAGCATAGAAGGGTTAGGAAATTAAAATATATATATATATATACTGAAAGTGAAATCACACACCAGTTGCTAACAGTGCCATCCTCCACTTGCCCTTTAAATGCCCTAGATTGTCCAGTTTGGAAATTCTGTGTCAAAAGAAGGAAATGTCACTTCCAAACTGAAACAACTGCTCTAGGCTGCCTCAGCAGTAAGCTGAGAGTGAGATGAACATGACACGGACATACCCCACAAAAATAATTAGTAAATCATGCCATGAGGCTCTTCATGAAGATGAAGAGCTTGCAGATATGATTTTGGACCCCCTTTTTGTGAAGCTCCGCATAAAGATTGATATGGTGACAAGGACTAGAGTAGGTAAATGTTGCTCTTGTCTTCAAATAACAGGAAAAAAGCTGTTTGAAGACAGTAAGCTTAAAAAGGCAAAATTCTGGAACAGATTATTAATTTGGTAAGCATTTAAAAATGAAAGCACTGCTTTTCAGAAAGCAATGCTGTTTGGTATTGTTAGTGTACCTCATTACATGTTTAGCAGAGTACTTCTATCCTTGATCAGCAGGTGAGAACCAATAGCAATGGGAAGGTGCTTGTTGTGATTGCTATATTCCCCAGTAGCAGGCAACTGTTGGCAATTTAAATTCATAATAAATTCCCTCCTCCAAACAGTAAGTCTTCAGTATGGGACTAAATATTTGGTGAGTCTAGAAGACTGAAGCCAGGCATAAGCCATACCATGTAAATCTAATATCCTGCTTCACAAACTACATCACCTTGGCTGGAACATGTGCATCACTTGCCTCTTGCTTTCTGAAGGAGGACAAAGAAAGTAGTGATACCCTACTAAGCAGTTGGAATTAATGTGTACCTGCCCCCCACCCCAAATCTGGACGTTAGCCTTTGGTGAGCATTGAGAGAATAAAATTAGGAAATGGTAGAATTATAGTAAATTTGCAAAGTGATTAAACTAGAACAAAAGGACAAAAATGCTTTTAAGGAACTCTAAAGTATAATTTCGACACATATTTAAGGATTTGATTAACATCTGAAATAGCCCAGTTTTATATAAATTTTAAACTTTTTTAAAATTTAATTTTATGTCATATGGTTGTCATGAATACTATGCAAGTATGAGTCTTGTATATAAGGTAGGAATGGAAATTTATGTTCTACTATTATATATCAAATATACTGAACGTATTAAATGTATGTGTGTGTGTGTATGTATGTACAATTTTTTAAAGTGTAAAGTGAAAATATACAATTATTCAAATTTCCACACATGCTTCAAAGACCCAGGAAATTAAGAGATAAGGACAGTCTGATTGTTTTATAAAACACAAAATGAAGCATTATTTTCCTTACTTTCTCTGACTTCCAAGATCGCTTTGATTTTTCATTAAACTTTATATATGTAGTTTTTAAATATTCAGTTTGCAATTTACGTTCAGTAGACTTTTCCATAATTTTTTTCTGTAGATCTAAAACTTGTTCTTCTTTCAAAATGGCTTCACGAAGTGGAATCTTAGTTTTCTTTTCCTCCTGTCTAAAAAAAAAATGGTGTAATAAATAACACTTTGTAATTGTGTGAGCCAGCATCAATTACTTAATTACAATTTAATACGAAAGACATATATTCAAGCATGGTTCCACTCTAAACAAAAGGATTTATGAAACATACAGTCAGCTAGATTGTGCCCTTATATATTCATAAATAAAAATAAAAGGAATTAAAGTTGTAGACCCATAGACCCTGGCAGAGCATCCCAAGCTGTATACCTTTGATCAAATTTCCTCAGAAAGTATACCAGAAATGTCTTAATGACCCCCAAGGCCTATTAGAAATATCATATATGTCTTTTGAATCAGTTGTAAAGGCAAGAAACTATTTCTCAGTTTTCCTCTCACCATAAAAAAATAGCCAGCAATAAATAGGAAGGGGAACACTTAGGCTGAGATGACTTTTCAGGTGACGTAACTTCCAACCTGGGCACTACCAATCCACAAACTCTCTATCTGTTAAGATTCAGATTCTTCTGCAACATAAAGATGAAGGACAACTAAACCGTTCATAGGCCAGAGAACAGTTCACTGCAAGGGAAAACTACAGCACTTGGCGTTTTGTAGTTTAGTTTGTAGTTTAACATAAATGGTAAAGATACAAATATACAAAGTTCTATATGGCATGGAAAATGTAGGAAGCTTTTTCCTTTTCTCGTGGTATTAGAACTGGAGTCATCCACTGAAATCAGATTGCATTCATAATTCATAATTAAACTAGGAATTTGTTGCCATCAAATGATGAGACAGATATTATTTAAATTATTTTTAAAGGGGTATAGGGTTAGTGAAGGTTATATTACTACCACCTGAATTAGAGGCATTAAATATGAGGTCATGGTGAATAATACTGGAAGAAAAATTTGTCCTTTTTACAAAACCTTCACGCATGTGACATAAAATGCTAGACCAGATAGGCTATTGGCCTGATTCAGCAAAGCTCTTTTATGACCTTATATACATTTTATACAGCTAACATATATATAGTAATGAAACCAAAATTACTGCTGAATTTAAAATTAGTTTTTAAAAGGCACTATTGCAGATTTTATTTTAGTGGCACCTACGCAATATAGCACTGGATTATCTTAATCTTGAGGGAAAAAAACAATTAGAATCAAAAGAAAACTCTAATAGAATATCATTATTTGCACATTACAAAAATCAAAATAGCAATGTAATCAGTATTTTGATATTGCATTCTTCTAAAAGCAATGCAGTGTTTTAAAGATGATCCAGAAGTAATACTCATGCCAACACATTCAACTAAGAACTTGAAAAGTTATCTGCATTATAGGATTGTCAGATGTCGCAAAGAAAATTAAACCAAGTACATAATTTTCACACAATAAACAACAAAAATTGACCAATGGTAAATAGCCAAAGCCTTAAATTAGACTTCATCCCATTTATTTAGTGTAGACTAAAACAATCTAGAGCCAGTTTGGTGTAGTAGTTAAGGCACCAGGCTAGAAACTGGGTAACCATGTTAGAACACACTGTTCTGCCTTAGGCAGGTAGCCAGCTGGGTGACCTCAGGCCAGTCAGTCTCTCTTAGCCCTAGGAAGAAGAAGGCAAGGGCAAACCACTTTTGAAATCTTGCCAAGAAAACTGCAGGGATTTGTTCAGGCAGTCGACAGAAGTCAACACTGGCTCAAAGGCATCAAAAAACAAACAAAAAGCCCCCCCAAACAAACAAACAAAAAACACCTAAATGAAACAAATTGGAAAATGCATCTCAAATCAATAATTAAATGTGAACTAAGTCTGTGTAAAAGGGATGACAGTTCAGCATCCATTTCCAGAAAAGAACTCAGAAAACTGAGTTTTAAGAACTTTGGAGTGCAAACGGAGAATGGCACAGCCCAAAATTTGGAGATCATAACCAAAACTAAATTTTTAATTCTTAAAAACTTCAACCTTAAAAGTGTAACACTGTGGTATTTGGGGTACAACCTTTCAAGCATTAAAATACTGAGATTTGCAAATTGCTTTCCACCACATATTAAGATAATAATGTTCCTGATTATTGAAATACCATGGGCTAAATACATTTTTCTTGTTTAGACAGCATTGTTCACTATTAGGATTTCTGATGATAGAATTCATAAAATGCTGATGTCAATTTTCTCAATTTCACTGTAAACTGAAATACAGAACTATATAATAAAATAAAGATACCTTTTGCACCCACTTTTATGTATGACAGGCCAAGAATGTTAAGAGGCTAACAGCATTGGTAACATTCACATGAAGCAATACAGGATCTAAAACACAGCTCTGCATAACTCTGTTCCTAGATTTGTAAACTAACTTCTCAGCCGGGGATCTAGAATCTGATAAGTACAGGTTGAAATCCCCACTCAGTATTAAATTAACTCTGTAGAGTCATTATTTTGAGCTTAATTTCCCACACAGGTTTATGGCAGAAATAAAATTAGAATAAAAAATTATATGTGTTGCCTTAAACTCAACAGAGCTGTAAATATAATAACTGTAATGTTATGTGAATTCTTAGAAAGGTATCATTTCATCTACACCCCCCATTTTTTCCAATGTTTAATAGGAAGGACTGAACAAGTTGCTGCTTTTAGGTAAAAAAGTGACATATATGTAATAGCTCCTAATTTGGGGAATTGGGACAAATTCCTCAATAGCTGGGTTAAACAGGAAATCTTGAATATAGTTTTATCCCATGGGATAGAGCTCACTATCAAGTAACAGATTAAAACACTAACTGGGGGAGAAAATTCAGGGCTTCCAAATCCTAGGACATCATAGTGAAACAGCATCAGTCCAAAATATTGAAAACATCAAAAGACAGACATACTGTATATTTGTGAGCCACCTTAGATAGGCAGAACATTACTTTTGTCAATCTGAAATTCTGGGCAAACTAAACAAATTCAAATCATGAGGGATGAGAGACATGAATGAGATAATTTATGAGGAACTAGCTAAATATAACTAGAGCATGATATCCTTAAGGGATCACTGTTTTGCAAACTAATCTGCTCTAAAGCCCCTCTGACATCACAATCATTCTGTGGTGTCAATGAAAAATCATCCATCCCTGTGTGTTGTCCAATTGTTGGCGATGATGAAGCCTTACCATGTACACACAAATTTTCCCATGGAATCTCAATCTCTGCACTTTGATTATATGGAATTCCTCACATATACAGCTCCCTACAAGGCATCTGCAGCACACTCTGATTATTATCACACTAGGACTTATGGAGTGGAAGGGCTTCTCAGTGCCAATCATGTGATGAGTTCTGTGCTTGCTTTCATTACTTGACTAGAATTCCATCCTGTTCCCCAAAGGAGCAAGAGTAATTGAGGAATAGATAAAAATAATGTCAATCTCAGACCATGTATCAGTCTCTCTGAAGGCAGCCCTAATACATTCAGCCATGCTACATACCTTGTGGCAATACTCAAAGTAGATGGTAGCAAAAAGGGGCAAAATATACTTCAAGAAGAAAATCATTCCTATTTCATGAGTGTGAATCTCTACCATAATATTGTCCTTAAAATATAACAAACATCATAATCAAAGGCTACAACATCGAAGAATCAGCCACTCAAAAAATTGTGATCATACAGGATTTCAGATGCTGGCTATTGTGAAGCACAGAACATTGGTGAAAATCCATTCTTATACAGTAGCACACACAACTACACCAGTTGGGCAACATTTGGCCTTGGCTATGAGATCATTAAAGAAATAAATTTAGTTGTGCACACTTTTATGGCATTGTTTAAACAGTGGATTCTGGATAAATGTTACAGTATTTCAAACTAACTTTAATGCAGCTGCTCTGCCAAACTGTTCTCTGAACATACAGATTTGTTCCAGTTTGTCCAAAAGAAGTTGTTCCTTAGCATGTTTTTCATGGATTATCAGATCCCTCTTCTCTTCTTCTGCTTTTTGCTGAGCTTCTTTCAGCAAAGCTAAACGTTCTTGAAGTTCCACAAATGACATCTCACCAAGTACACCATGGTTAGCAGTCTATGGGGAAAAAAAGCAGAAGTGCTATATTTCTGTTGTATCTTAATTTACATTACAGTCCACATGTAGACCAAAAAATGCAATCCCAAGAGTTTGGGATTGCCCCCATCTCATTCCTTTCCACTATTACCATCTTTCCTGGTCTTCTTGCTGGGGATGAGTCTTGAACTTTTGTTGCAACAAATACAAGATGTAAACCTCAAATTTGAAACATTCAAATTCACATTCTGAATATAAACGTCCAATTTTGTTCTGAACCTTCATTCTTTAAATTGCTTAATCCATTTTCTTTCAAAATTTGATCATTGTAACAGCCACTTTATTATTCATGTAAACTTGATGCAATGCCTCATTTTAGTTATAATACTGGAATGTATTTTACATTTTCCTTCCTCCCAAATGGTGCTTAAGATGGTGGGGAGGGGACTTATTTACAGGGCTATTTATCTCTGAGCTTTCTAAGCATAGGATACCCAAGATGTTGAATAGCAGCAAAACAACCTGTCAAAATATAGGATAACTATCCATAATCACAATACTATAAGGGCCAAAGCATATAACCTAGGATATTAACATAATAATAAAGAAGTCTTTCTTGGGGGTTTGTTTCAAAATCTAATCTCACTTGGAATAATATGTGTTCAGGAGTATAACTGATGCTCATGACTACTTCCTAATACTTCATAGGTTAGGGGACTTTAAACCAGAGGAGCACATCCTAAAGCCCTCAGCCCCTCCAAAGCCACAGGTATACCTTGTAATTTTTATTGTGAAAATAGTGGGAAATTATGAAAGACAGGTTCATTACAGACCAATCATTAACTATATAATTTTCATTAATTTTTCATTTAAACATGAATTATATTAAATCGAGTTCTTTACATGGCCTTTCTATTACCTTTTCGAATGTGGCCCCAGCATGCCAAAGGCCAAGTATGATCTATGAGAAAGGGAGAAAAAATTCCCAAACTACTGCATGTATGATTTGATCATAAAAGCCTTTATCTGTTTTCAATCATTGGCTGTTAGTATTAATGGCCATAACCTACCTCCTGAATGATACATAGCTGCTGAGAAATACTAGTGGAAGAGTGAATTTTATCAGGAATATCTATTTGAAAAGTTTAAATAGATACATCAGTTTTGGGAATACCATCATCTTAATTGCTGTATGACTTTAAAAAGCCAAGATAACTCTTGTTCCATCTTTTCATGTCTTTTCTTATCTTCTTCCAAAAAGGGTCACAATTACTATTTAAGCTTATTTAAATTCTTCCTAGGTATAAAGGTTGTATGTTAATTCCTAGGTATAAAGGTTGTATGTTCAAAGAGAATTCCTAAAAAAAATGGATATTAATTTTTCCTTATGTGGCAGGGTATGAATTTTAGAAATTGACTGTTATCATGAGGTAATAAATTACATATTACTAAAAATTCCAGAATTAATAGAGGTGAATATGTGTAGCTCAGGGTTGAACTGTTCAAACCCTGTTTTAACTGGGAAACTGTCAGCATTTTAGACCAAGTTTCCCAGTTTCCCAGTTAAAACTATGGTCCAGAATACCAAATGGTCAGCATTTTAGACCAAGCTAAATCCAAATATGCAAAAGAATTCTTGGAATACCTTGGAAGGTATTCAGACAAGGCAGCAATTAACCGACACAGAGATAAACAGCATCAACATACTATTCCAAAGAGACAAAAGACCAGAAAATTGCCTCACCAGCAATCAATCACCAGCAATCATCACCCAGATAAGCAAAGGTTACCACCAGGCACACAATCA